CCAATAAACGTGGATTTTTTAAAAATATTTTTTCAAGGCCTACCTATAAACGTGGATTTTTTAAAAATATTTTTTCAAGGCCTACCAATAAACGTGGATTTTTTAAAAATATTTTTTCAAGGCCTACCAATAAACGTGGATTTTTTAAAAATATTTTTTCAAGGCCTACCAATAAACGTGGATTTTTTAAAAATATTTTTTCAAGGCCTACCAATAAACGTGGATTTTTTAAAAATATTTTTTCAAGGCCTACCAATAAACGTGGATTTTTTAAAAATATTTTTTCAAGGCCTACCAATAAACGTGGATTTTTTAAAAATATTTTTTCAAGGCCTACCAATAAACGTGGATTTTTTAAAAATATTTTTTCAAGGCCTACCAATAAACGTGGATTTTTTAAAAATATTTTTTCAAGGCCTACCAATAAACGTGGATTTTTTAAAAATATTTTTTCAAGGCCCATTTATGAACGTGGATTTTTTAAAAATATTTTTTCAAGGTCTACCAATAAACGTGGATTTTTTTAAAAATATTTTTTCAAGGCCTACCAATAAACGTGGATTTTTTAAAAATATTTTTTCAAGGCCTACCAATAAACGTGGATTTTTTAAAAATATTTTTTCAAGGCCTACCAATAAACGTGGATTTTTTAAAAATATTTTTTCAAGGCCTACCAATAAACGTGGATTTTTTAAAAATATTTTTTCAAGGGCCACCTACAAACGTGGATTTTTTAAAAATACTTTTTCAAGGCCTACCAATAAACGTGGTTTTTTTTAAAAATATTTTTTCAAGGCCTACCAATAAACGTGGATTTTTTAAAAATATTTTTTCAAGGGCCACCTACAAACGTGGATTTTTTAAAAATACTTTTTCAAGGCCTACCAATAAACGTGGTTTTTTTTAAAAATATTTTTTTAAGGCCTACCAATAAACGTGGATTTTTTAAAAATATTTTTTCAAGGCTTAGCAATAAACGTGGATTTTTTAAAAATATTTTTTCAAGGCCTACCAATAAACGTGGATTTTTTAAAAATATTTTTTCAAGGCCTACCAATAAACGTGGATTTTTTAAAAATATTTTTTCAAGGCCTACCAATAAACGTGGATTTTTTAAAAATATTTTTTCAAGGCCTACCAATAAACGTGGATTTTTTAAAAATATTTTTTCAAGGGCCACCTACAAACGTGGATTTTTTAAAAATACTTTTTCAAGGCCTACCAATAAACGTGGCTTTTTTTAAAAATATTTTTTCAAGGGCCATTAACAGACGTGGATTTTTTAAAAATATTTTTTCAAGCCCCATTTATGAACGTGGATTTTTTAAAAATATTTTTTCAAGGCCCATTTATGAACGTGGATTTTTTAAAAATATTTTTTCAAGGCCCATTTATGAACGTGGATTTTTTAAAAATATTTTTTCAAGGCCCATTTATGAACGTGGATTTTTTAAAAATATTTTTTCAAGGCCCATTTATGAACGTGGATTTTTTAAAAATATTTTTTCAAGGCCCATTTATGAACGTGGATTTTTTAAAAATATTTTTTCAAGGCCCATTTATGAACGTGGATTTTTTAAAAATATTTTTTCAAGGCCCATTTATGAACGTGGATTTTTTAAAAATATTTTTTCAAGGCCTACCAATAAACGTGGATTTTTTAAAAATATTTTTTCAAGGCCTACCAATAAACGTGGATTTTTTAAAAATATTTTTTCAAGGCCTACCAATAAACGTGGATTTTTTAAAAATATTTTTTCAAGGGCCACCTACAAACGTGGATTTTTTAAAAATATTTTTTCAAGGGCCACCTACAAACGTGGATTTTTTAAAAATATTTTTTCAAGGGCCACCTACAAACGTGGATTTTTAAAAATATTTTTTCAAGGGCCACCTACAAACGTGGATTTTTTAAAAATATTTTTTCAAGGGCCACCTACAAACGTGGATTTTTTAAAAATATTTTTTCAAGGGCCACCTACAAACGTGGATTTTTTAAAAATATTTTTGCAAGGGCCACCTACAAACGTGGATTTTTTAAAAATATTTTTGCAAGGGCCACCTACAAACGTGGATTTTTTAAAAATATTTTTTCAAGGGCCACCTACAAACGTGGATTTTTTAAAAATATTTTTTCAAGGGCCACCTACAAACGTGGATTTTTTAAAAATATTTTTTCAAGGGCCACCTACAAACGTGGATTTTTTAAAAATATTTTTTCAAGGGCCACCTACAAACGTGGATTTTTTAAAAATATTTTTTCAAGGGCCACCTACAAACGTGGATTTTTTAAAAATATTTTTTCAAGGGCCACCTACAAACGTGGATTTTTTAAAAATATTTTTTCAAGGGCCACCTACAAACGTGGATTTTTTAAAAATATTTTTTCAAGGGCCACCTACAAACGTGGATTTTTTAAAAATATTTTTTCAAGGGCCACCTACAAACGTGGATTTTTAAAAATATTTTTTCAAGGGCCACCTACAAACGTGGATTTTTTAAAATATTTTTTCAAGGGCCACCTACAAACGTGGATTTTTTAAAAATATTTTTTCAAGGGCCACCTACAAACGTGGATTTTTTAAAAATATTTTTTCAAGGCCTACCAATAAACGTGGATTTTTTAAAAATATTTTTTCAAGGGCTATTAACAAACGTGGATTTTTTAAAAATATTTTTTCAAGGGCTATTAACAAACGTGGATTTTTTAAAAACATTTTTTCAAGGGCCACCTACAAACGTGGATTTTTGAAAAATATTTTTTCAAGGGCTATTAACAAACGTGGATTTTTTAAAAACATTTTTTCAAGGGCCACCTACAAACGTGGATTTTTGAAAAATATTTTTTCAAGGGCTATTAACAAACGTGGATTTTTTAAAAATATTTTTTCAAGGGCTATTAGCAAACGTGGATTTTTTAAAAATATTTTTTCAAGGCCTACCAATAAACGTGGATTTTTTTAAAAATATTTTTTCAAGGCCTACCAATAAACGTGGATTTTTTAAAAATATTTTTTCAAGGCCTACCAATAAACGTGGATTTTTTAAAAATATTTTTTCAAGGCCTACCAATAAACGTGGATTTTTTAAAAATATTTTTTCAAGGCCTACCAATAAACGTGGATTTTTTAAAAATATTTTTTCAAGGGCCACCTACAAACGTGGATTTTTTAAAAATACTTTTTCAAGGCCTACCAATAAACGTGGCTTTTTTTAAAAATATTTTTTTAAGGCCTACCAATAAACGTGGATTTTTTAAAAATATTTTTTCAAGGCTTAGCAATAAACGTGGATTTTTTAAAAATATTTTTTCAAGGCGTACCAATAAACGTGGATTTTTTAAAAATATTTTTTCAAGGCCTACCAATAAACGTGGATTTTTTAAAAATATTTTTTCAAGGCCTACCAATAAACGTGGATTTTTTAAAAATATTTTTTCAAGGGCCACCTACAAACGTGGATTTTTTAAAAATACTTTTTCAAGGCCTACCAATAAACGTGGCTTTTTTTAAAAATATTTTTTCAAGGGCCATTAACAGACGTGGATTTTTTAAAAATATTTTTTCAAGCCCCATTTATGAACGTGGATTTTTTAAAAATATTTTTTCAAGGCCCATTTATGAACGTGGATTTTTTAAAAATATTTTTTCAAGGCCCATTTATGAACGTGGATTTTTTAAAAATATTTTTTCAAGGCCCATTTATGAACGTGGATTTTTTAAAAATATTTTTTCAAGGCCCATTTATGAACGTGGATTTTTTAAAAATATTTTTTCAAGGCCCATTTATGAACGTGGATTTTTTAAAAATATTTTTTCAAGGCCCATTTATGAACGTGGATTTTTTAAAAATATTTTTTCAAGGCCCATTTATGAACGTGGATTTTTTAAAAATATTTTTTCAAGGCCTACCAATAAACGTGGATTTTTTAAAAATATTTTTTCAAGGCCTACCAATAAACGTGGATTTTTTAAAAATATTTTTTCAAGGCCTACCAATAAACGTGGATTTTTTAAAAATATTTTTTCAAGGGCCACCTACAAACGTGGATTTTTTAAAAATATTTTTTCAAGGGCCACCTACAAACGTGGATTTTTTAAAAATATTTTTTCAAGGGCCACCTACAAACGTGGATTTTTAAAAATATTTTTTCAAGGGCCACCTACAAACGTGGATTTTTTAAAAATATTTTTTCAAGGGCCACCTACAAACGTGGATTTTTTAAAAATATTTTTTCAAGGGCCACCTACAAACGTGGATTTTTTAAAAATATTTTTGCAAGGGCCACCTACAAACGTGGATTTTTTAAAAATATTTTTTCAAGGGCCACCTACAAACGTGGATTTTTTAAAAATATTTTTTCAAGGGCCACCTACAAACGTGGATTTTTTAAAAATATTTTTTCAAGGGCCACCTACAAACGTGGATTTTTTAAAAATATTTTTTCAAGGGCCACCTACAAACGTGGATTTTTTAAAAATATTTTTTCAAGGGCCACCTACAAACGTGGATTTTTTAAAAATATTTTTTCAAGGGCCACCTACAAACGTGGATTTTTTAAAAATATTTTTTCAAGGCCTACCAATAAACGTGGATTTTTTTTAAAAATGTTTTTTCAAGGGCCACCAATAAACGTGGATTTTTTAAAAATATTTTTTCAAGGGCGACCTACAAACGTGGATTTTTTAAAAATATTTTTCAAGGCCTAACTATAAACGGTGATTTTTTAAAAATATTTTTTCAAGGGCCACCTACAAACGTGGATTTTTTAAAAATATTTTTTCAAGGGCCACCAACAAACGTGGATTTTTGAAAAATATTTTTTCAAGGGCTATTAACAAACGTGGATTTTTTAAAAATATTTTTTCAAGGGCTATTAGCAAACGTGGATTTTTTAAAAATATTTTTTCAAGGGCTATTTACAAACGTGGATTTTTTTAAAAATATTTTTTCAAGGCCTAGATTTAAATGTGCATTAAAAAAATTGGAGGACTTTCAAATGATTTTAAAAATATAATTTTATTGAGTTTTTAGAAATAATAAGAAAAGTTGACTAGCTTAGGATCTGCATATATATCTAAAATTAATTATAACCTTACTTAGTACCCCATCGCCTCATATACTCTTCCCACTATTCCCTCTCGTTGCCAAATACGGCCTTTCTTCCGTGGGACATTCAAATACCTCAAAGGCCTTGGGATGGAAGGTGTCATCCTTTTCTCCCACTGGCTGTAGCATATTATTCCACAGCATATTGGCCACCGCAGCTTGGCCCAGTTGGCTGAAATGGAAACAATCTGGACCAAAATATCCATAATTCGTTTTTCCATTCGCATGCTTCGGGGCAAACCAGTGTTTCATCAGCGGCTGATAGACCACAGCAAAATCGTCGGTTTGAAATTCCGGTAAATTGGCAACCTCCTCATCGATTTCTTGTATCCTTCGCACAGCCTTGGCCACCTGCTGCAGCTGTCGGGGATTATTCTTCCTTCGTGCTACACAGTGACAGGCAAAAATGTGGGTTGCCTCACAAACTCGGGGTAGGTCATTGATTTCGGCCACAATATCCGGTATGTTGGGGGTGGACATTAGATTGACAAGTAATCGTGGAATATTGGCCTTCAAAATCTCCAATGTCTTGTAGAGGCTACGCCTATGCAGATCCAAGAACTCCTCCAACTGCTTATAGTAGCACATGTCAAAGCAAACATCATTGCCTCCAATGAACAGGGTTATGACCTTCCAATGCCTGGCCATATCCACCTGGGGATCTCTTTCCAGGCGTCTTATCAAAACCCTGGCCTGATAAGGCATATCCAGTGTCAGGGCACTACCCTCGCCCACATTAAAGCGCGAGGCCCTGTCACGAGACACCACATTACCAATGGCATAGCCATAGAGTTTGGGATTGAAGACCTTGAAAATATTTGGCAAAGTCAAATAGGTACGCCAATCTCTCAAACCTCCTCCCGTCGAGACCACTCCACGATATTCGGCCACAACATCGATGAGGCTTTGCGACATGATGGCCGTCCCTGCCGTCAAAGAATCACCCATGGCCGCAATGATGTCTATATCACCAGGGCGTAAACGATGCACCGAATCGGGTACCTCCGGCGAGCGGGTTCCATTTAGAGAACAGGGAAACGGTTGTGATTTTGGAATTTGCTTCTGCACTTTACCTCTCTGACGATTCATTTCCAAATTGGCCTTTTCATTGCGATTTACCAGACTCCCTCGGAAAACGCTGTAAATGTCACGAAAATTCTCGAAATTTGTATAGATCGGCAAATGACTGCCGGGCGTTTTGACTGGCGTAAAGGGTTCGCGGCGTATGCCGGAGATTCTCAATAGCTCATCGATGGCCTGTTGTTGGCCGGTGACTCGAAGTAAAAAGTGGCTGAGGACAAGGGTGCAACTTAGCGACAATAATTTGGACATTTTTCTGGAAAAAATGAAAATTGAAAAATAATTTTGAAAATAAAGAAAATTAAAAAAAAAAAATTAATCGATTAATAAAAAAATTAAATTTTTAAAATTTTTTGATGGTTTTTTTTAACAATTTTTAATTTTTTTTTTTTAATTTTTTGATGGATTTTTGAAAATATTTCGAATCGATCAATGGCAAAATTTTTCTGATTTTTTTTTTTTATATACGCAGGAGTTCTCTTCATATTTTTTTAATATCAGGAATTAATGTTTCAAAAATATTTTTTTAACTATTAAAAACTATTTTTAATTTTAATTAAAAAAAAGTTTTTTTTTGAAGATTTTTCCAAATTTTTAAGATTATTTAAGATACCCTCCATAGAATAGTGGAGGGCATAAAAAATTGCTTTTAAATATGTCAATAAATGTTTAGAGCACCTCGAAATACTGATTGCTTTAGTGTTGACTTTTTAAGTTTTAAAAAATATTTATTTGGATTTAAAAAAAAAATATTTTTTATGAAATTTTGTCAAAGTGAATTTTTTTAAAATAACGTGGATTTTTTAAAAAATAATTTTTAACAAGATTTTTGAACGTGGATTTGTTTTTAAATATTTTTAATGAAATTTTTTGAATGTGAATTTTTTATAAAATTTTTCGAACATGGATTTTTTTTATAAAATTTTGTGAATGTGGATTTAAAAAAAATATTTTTAATAAAATTTATCGAACGTGCATTTTTTAAAAAAATATTTTTAATAAAGTTTATCGTACGTATATTTTAGTTTATCGTAATATATTTTTAAAAAAAAAATATTTTTTATAAAATTTATCAAACGTGGAATTTTTTAAAAAAATATTTTTAATAAAATTTTTCGAACGTGGATTTTTTTAAAAAAAGTATTTTTTATAAAATTTTTCGAACGTGGATTTTTTGAAAAAAAAATATTTTAAATAAAATATTTCAAACGTGGATTTTTTTTTTTAAAAATATTTTTTATAAAACTTTTCGAACATGGATTTAAAAAAAATATATTTTTAATAATATTTTTCGAACGTGTTTTTTTTTAATATTTTTAATGACATTTTGTGAACGTGGATTTTTTAAATATTTTTAATGACATTTTGTGAACGTGGATTTTTTAAAAAATAATTTTTAATAAAATTTTTTAACATGGATTTTTTTAAATATTTTTAATACATTTTTCGAACGTGGATTTTAAAAAAAATATTTTTAATGAAATTTTGTGAATGTGGATTTTTAAAGAAATGTTTTTTTTTTTTTAAATATTTTCCAACGTAAATTTTATTAAAAAATAATTTATATGAAATCTTGTGAATGTGGATTTTTTACAAAAAAAAAAAAAAAAAAAAAAAAAATAAATAAATATTTTCGAGTGTGGATTTAAAAAATATATTTTTAATGAAATTTTGTGAATGTGGATTTATAAAAAAACTTTTTATAAAATTTTTTGAACGTGGATTTTTTTTTTTGAAACAAATATTTTTTATGAAATTTTTCCAAAGTGGATTTTTAACTTCGTAATGGCAGAACCCCGCCTATTGCAGATAATTGTCTATGTGGTTCTATGGTACCTCCCCATAATCGATATTTTGACAATTTAGGCCACATTTTCCAATGAAATTGTTTTAAGTTATTTTCATAGAGTTCTTAAAGAATTCTATCTTCTTTGGTAGATTTATTTTGAATTTTGTTTTCATTGATTTTTTTACCCTACACCACAAAGAGGCGAGGGTATTATGTCTTTGTGCATTTGTGTGTAACATGGAGAAGGAAGCGAGATGGATCCATAATAACTTTTTGAGGATCTTCATAAAATCACTAGTCTAAAAACGCCGAAAAGTGAATATTTAAGGAGTTATGGCCATTTAAAATATTCAATAATTCAACCTCAAAAAGGAATCACAAATAATAGTTAAAAACGCCGAAAAGTCAATATTTAAGGAGTTATGGCCACTGTAGTCGATTTATTCATGTCAGTCCGTCCGTCCGTTACAAAATGAGGTTCCTCGCTTCATTTGCAGCGCCCAATGGCCACCAAAAATCTCCGGATACCAATCCGTTGAGTCTGGAGTATTTTAGAAAGCAAGGTTAGCCCGAAAAATTACTAAAGTGTCGATCATCTCAAGCAAGCGCTTCGCCGGGAATGGGCCAAAATTCCGCAGAGCAACATTCGGGCAGCGTGTGACGGTTTCATTGGCCCTAATTGGTGCCAAATGTGACCAATTCGAACAAAGCTAAACTTATTCTAAAATTTGATTCTATTTCCGACATTTTTTGCTTTCATTCAATAAAATTAAAAAAAAAATGAAAAAATTATGGCGATTGACTTTGTTGCAGTTATTTATCTAATTGTTTTATTTTTATTTATTTTTAAATTTTTTTTTTTTTATTTATTTTATTTTTTTTTTTAATTTTTTTTTTGGAAAATAACTTTTGAATTTTCAGTGTGATTTTCTTATCGCGGATTTTTTTTTATTATTTTTTAGATCAACAACCATTGGAAAAAAATATTATTTCTGGAGCTATAAACTTGAATTTTTTTAGGAAGCCAATCCCTGGATTTTTTTAATTTTTTTTTTTTAAATCTCGATGATTTTTAAAACGTTTTTGATCCATTTTTTTTTTCATCTCCCATAATATCAAGTCGGATATTTTTTTTTTTAAATATTTCCAAAATATTTTTGCACGACCACCCTTACTTTATTCTTAAACAGGATTCTTTAAAATATAAATATATTTTTCGTGGATTCAACTTGGATTTTTTTTAGGGTGGCCAACTCTGGATAATTTTAAAGATTTTTTTTTAATATTTTTGATGATTTTTTTAAACAATTTAATTGATTTTTAATTTTTTCCCATTATTTCTTAAATTTGCATTACCTCTTTCCCCTCCTTCTCTACAAATTCCAAAGTCCAACAAATTTTTTTCAATTTTTCACCTTTGATCAACACAATTAAATAATTGAATAATGGCTTCACGGTTATTTATTTTGTTGTTAATTTTTTTTATAGGATCTCAGTAGTTTCTTCCGTTGAGATGCAATTCTCGAGAATATCAATACCGACTGATTGGATGGGTTGATCAATTAGAACTAAACCATGATTATCCACATAGTTTGCTTAGAATGTCTCCATCTGACACCCCTCCCTCCCCCTCCCCACGCCCTCTCCTTAACATTTGCGATCGGAAACAAGTTTTTATTTTAATTGTTGTTATAGGTTCTAATGACAAAGATAATTTAAATGAAAATATGCTAAAGAAATGATATTCTTAATTCCGGTTCGCCCGTCAGTCATATGGCGTAATCCGCAACATTCAAATATGCAAAAAATCCAAATAGAATAATTTAGATTGTTTTTTTTTTTTAATTTATTTAATTATTGCGCTGAGCATAATTCTATCCCAGCTGAAAGAAACTGTCGCACACACAGTTTCGAAGATGATGATTATGCGAAACATATCGATTGGAGAGATAATCGACGAACGAGCGACCGAGCAACAGAGGAAGTTTGAAAGCGTTTTAAAATAGTTTATGGAAATTTTTATTTTTTGCTTTGTTATTATTTATGTTTTTTTAGCATTTTGAAACTGTTAAATCATGATTATCATATCCAAAATAACAACACACGTGATAAACAAAATTTGCATAAATCGATTCGCTTTCATGCCAAGCCTTACTATTTTCTATGCTTTCCAAAGGTGTAATGACCCTAAGAAGACAAGTGTTTGGATAGCGGGCTATTTGGGCATCATGTTTAAAAAAAAAATTAAAAAAAAAATATTTTTAAAAAATCCCCATTTATTGGTACGCCTTGAAAAAATATTTTTAAAAAATCCCCATTTATTGGTGCGCCTTGAAAAAATATTTTTAAAAAATCCCCATTTATTGAAAGGCCTTGAAAAAACATTTTAAAAAAATCCACGTTTATAGCAGCGTCTCCAAAAAATATATTTAAAAAAATACACGTTTATAGCAGCGTCTCCAAAAAATATTTTTTAAAAATCCACGTTTATAGCAGCGTCTCCAAAAAATATTTTTTAAAAAATCCACGTTTATGGCAGCGTCTCCAAAAAATATTTTTAAAAAATCCTTGTTTATAGCAACGCCTCCAAAAAATATTTTCTTACGTTTATAGCAGCGTCTCCAAAAAATATATTTAAAAAAAATACACGTTTATAGCAGCGTCTCCAAAAAATTTTTTTAAAAAATCCACGTTTTTAGCAACGCCTCCAAAAAATATTTAAAAAAAACACGTTTATAGCAGGGCCTCCAAAAATATTTTTTAAAAATCCACGTTTTTAGCAGGGCCTTGAAAAATTATTTTTAAAAAATCCACGTTTATAGCAGGGCCTTGAAAAAATATTTTTAAGAAATCCCCGTATATAAATGGGGCTTCAAAAAATATTTTTAAAAAATGCACGTTAATAGCAGGGCCATTAAAAATATTTTTAAGAAATCCCCATCTATAAATAGGGCTTGAGAAAATATTTTTGTAAAATTCCCGTCTATAAATAGGGCTTGAAAAAATATTTTTAAAAAATCCCCTGTAAATGAACCTTGAAAAAATATTTTTGAAAAATTCCCGTCTATAAATAGTGCTTGAAAAAATATTTTTAAAAAATCCCCTATAAATTAACCTGGAAAAAATATTTTTGAAAAATTCCCGTCTATAAATAGGGCTTGAAAAAATGTTTTTGAAAAATCCCCTATAAATGAACCTTGAAAAAATATTTTTGAAAACTTCTCGTCTATAAATAGGGCTTGAAAAAATATTTTTAAAAAATTCCCTATAAATGAACCTTGAAAAAATATTTTTGAAAAATTCCCGTCTATAAATAGGGCTTGAAAAAATATTTTTAAAAAATCCCCTATAAATGAACCTTGAAAAAATATTTTTGAAAAATTCCCGTCTATAAATAGGTCTTGAAAAAATATTTTTAAAAAATCCCCGTCTATAAATGGGACTTGAAAAAATATTTTAAAAAAATCCACGTTTATAGCAGCGCCTCCAAAAAATATTTATAAAAAATCCACGTTTATAGCAGCGCCTCCAAAAAATATTTTTAAAAAATCCACGTTTATTGATAGGCCTTAAAAAAATATTTATAAAAAAATCCACGTTTGATGTTAGGCCATTGAAAAAATATTTATAAAAAAATCCACGTTTATTGGTAGGCCTTGAAAAAATATTTATAAAAAATCCACGTTTATTGGTAGGCCTTGAAAAAATATTTATAAAAAATCCACGTTTATTGGTAGGCCTTGAAAAAATATTTATAAAAAATCCACGTTTATAGCAGCGCCTCCAAAAAATATTTTTAAAAAATCCACGTTTATTGGTAGGCCTTGAAAAAATATTTATAAAAAATCCACGTTTATAGCAGCGCCTCCAAAAAATATTTTTAAAAAATCCACGTTTATTGGTAGGCTTTGAAAAAATATTTTTAAAAAATCCACGTTTATTGGTAGGCCTTAAAAAAATATTTTTTAAAAAATCCACGGTTATTGGTAGGCCTTGAAAAAATATTTTTTTAAAAATGCACGTTTATTGGTAGGCTTTGAAACAATATTTTTAAAAAATCCACGATTATCAGTTGCCTTTGAAAATTTTTTTTTTTTTTTTTTAAAAATCCAAGTTTTGTTAATTGCTCTTAAAAAATATTCCTTATCTCAGCTCTCCATCACCTATCCACCCATCCACCTGATTAATCTAAAATATGAGAGGATTCGCCAGGTCTACAAGAATTTTATTTTAAAACTTTGTTTTTCAATTTATTAATTAATTAAAAAAAGCATGACGACAACAAAAATAGCGGGCGTAACGCAATCTAGCAGCGGAAAAAAGCGGCCCAACCCAAAACGTAGCAAAAAAATCAGGGCTCAAATAGGACAGCACCTTGAGTGTGGGCAAGGATATTTAGCGGGCTGCTGACTACTTTTTTTCCAACAGAGAAAAAATTTGCAAGGAGAAAGTGGTTATGACAGGGAATGTTAAGCGGACCAGGATTGGGGGGTTGAATACTTTATCATATCAAGATTACAAAAAAGCGAAACAAACGTCGAAAAAGGGAATAAAAAATCCATTTTCCGCTACCGGACATTACACGGCGCAGTGGAAAAGAGTCGCATCTCACCATCCACGAAAACAAATAACAACGTTTCACATATGATTGCATATATAATGCCTGCCAGTCGACCAGCCAGCAGGGCAGCCACCCAGCCTTCCTGCACATGTTTTTTCCAGCCTCCACAGCCGCCCCACCTCCACCTTGCTAGACATTTCAGCGAACATTTAAACTTGTCCATTAACTACCCTCTTTCTGGATGGATGGATGATGGAACAAGTGGCAAGCTATGGCTTAAAAAAATGGAAAAAATCTGAACAGAAAAACAAAGCCATTTTCCGTGGATATAGCAACACGGAGTTTTAAAACGTGGAATGGTGGGAAAAAAATATATACTCAACAACATTAAAAATGCAATGATATGCCGAAAAAATAATGGATATTTTTCCCAATCCGTTGAGTACTTTTTTCCGGACAAATATGAAAAAGGGGACCTTTTCCTATGTCTACGTACGGGATAATCATGCTGGTCTCAGTGGTGATAGAGGGATTGGGGTTTTAAAAACTCACGAGTTTTTAATAAATGAAAAATAAAAATTAAAAAACAAAAATACACCCACGAATTTTTGGATCTATGAGGCATCCGGAAAAGGGATGCTACTCATTTTATTTTATTTCAAAAAAAAAAAAAAATGCAGACCTAAAAAATACTTGGTCACCAACGCATTTGAGGAAATAGAAACTGAATTAAACAATCGTAATTTTTGGTAATAAATTGGAAGGTTGGGAAATATCCTTCATTGCAATTTCAAGGATTTGTTTCATTGTCTCTTAGAAGAAAAAAATCCAAAATTCCTTAAAAATAATTTTAAAAAATTATCTTGGTCCTTAAATAAAAATTTTTTAAAAAATAATATTTACAAATTCCCAGTTTTGAGGTCCTTGACAACCAAATTTTGAAAAACTTCAAATATTACTGCGTATGTTCTTTCATAAAAAAAAAATTTTCAAGGACTATACCAGACGTGAATTTGTAAAAAATATTTTTTCAAGGACTACACAAGACGTGGAGTTTTTAAAAAAAATATTTTTTAAGGACTAGACGTGGACGTGGATTTTTTAAAAAAATATTTTTCAAGGACTAGACAAAACATGCACATTTTAAAAAATATTTTTTTTAAATATTGACCAGACATAGGTTAAAAAAATATATTTTTTTGTTAAAGATGTGTATATTTTAAAAAAATAAATTAAAAAAAAAAAAAATAGACTAGATGTGTTTTTTTTTTAAATATCTTTTTCGAGGATTATATTTTTTGAAAATATTTTTTCAAGGCTATTAACTAACGTGGATTGTTTTTGAAAATATTTTTTCAAGGCTATTAACTAGCGTGCATTTCTTAAAAATATTTTTTTTAGGCTATTAACTAACGTGAAATTTTTAAAAATATTTTTTCAAGGCCTACCAATGAACGTGGATTTTTTAAAAATATTTTTTCAAGGACTATTAACAAAGGTTGATTTTTTAAAAATATTTTTTCAAGGCTATTAACTAACGTGGATTTTTTAAAAATTATTTTCCAAGGCTATCTATAAACGTGGATTTTTTACAAAATATTTTTTTCATGGCTATTAACAAACGTGGATTTTTTACAAAATATTTTTTTAAGAACTATTAACAAAGGTTGATTTTTTAAAAATATTTTTTCAAGGCTTTTAACTAACGTGGATTTTTTAAAAATATTTTTTCAAGGCTTTTAACTAACGTGGACTTTTGAAAAATATTTTATCAAGGCTGTTAACTAACGTGGATTTTTTAAAAATATTTTTTCAATGCTTTTAACTAACGTTAATTTTTGAAAAAAAAAAAATCGACAAGTCCTTGTAGAAAAACGTTTAAAAATCCATTTGAAGCCGTTAGTCCTTGGAAAATATTTAAGAATCCACGAGTACTTCTCTTTTTGTCTTTGAAATAAAAAATATTTAAAAATCCCAAAATTGAGGTCTCTCGTCTTTGAAAAAAAAAAAT